CCAAATTAAGTGAGATTCTAGCATAGACAGCGGCAGCAGGCACAGGGGAAGGATATGGTGGAAAAACACTGAAAAAATTCAGTGTGTTCAGCATCCCATTTTCTGACAGTTGGAGGCTGTCAGCTTCTGTTGGGTTTGGGGGGCAGGGTGCCTACGTGCGGCTCTCTAAGGACTGGTGCCTTCCCTGAGGCCTGGGGGCCCCCTCCAGCACTGTCCTGACCTGCGGGCCCCTCCCCTGTGCTGGCCTGTGTGTTTGAGAGAATCCTGCTTCACACCAGGTGGCTCTCGGGGCAGGCGGCCTGACCAGGAGGGACAGAGACCTGCCTCCTCCAGCCTTGTGCCCAGGCCTAGGGGCAGAGGCATTCCCTTTGGGAAGCCTCAGTTTTTCTAATCTGTAAAATGGGTAAGAAAGACCTCTTTTGAATGCTGGTGTGAGGGTTTCTGAGACTGCGTATGAAGCCTAAAACCTGCCCGTACCCGGTGCTCTGTGAATGTCAGCCCCGCCGCTTTTCTAGGTGCAGGTGTCCGACTGGCCTGTGTGGGCGGGGCTCTGTGTGGGGGGGAGGCATGCCCCTGCCCCAGGGACCTCCAGAAGCTGTCTTATGAGATAGAATGACCTCTGACCTCCCTCAGTGGTTCTCCAAGTCCACCCATGAGTGATCCCAGGCCCCCTCTGTCTCCACCAGTCACCCCATCCCACACTGAGCCCCTGGGGGGACAGGCCCAATGTGAGGCCCCAATCTGGGATGCCGACCAGCCCCTCAAATAGATCCTTCCACCCCTGGTGGAACTGCAGTTTGGGTCCTGAGCCCCCACTCCCCTTCATTCCCCAGCCGGTTTGAGGATGTTGACTTTCCAGCTGGAGAAAGTCCAGTTTCTGTTGTGGGTTCCCTCAGGGACCCTGGAATCCAGCCCCTCACTGCCTAGTGCGGGAAACAGATCAGAGAGGGCAGGCATTGCCCAAGGTCACACGATGGAGTGGCCAAAGAAAGCCGCACGTGGCCAGTGTGGGAAGTAACTGAGCCAGGCTGTGTCTGCCCCGGGACACGGGTGATGGGGTGATGGGGGCGGGCGGCCCTCTGCGGCACGGGTCTGATGGCTCTGGGATTGGGCGGACACAGGCTGCTGTAGGGTCTGTGCGTCGTGCCCTGGGCACTGCTCTCCTCTGCCTGCCCACGTGCCTGCCTTCGGTGTTTATTTCCTTTGTATTTATTGGTTCAATTTTTAAAAAAGTCTTGCCCTTGTGGGAAGCCCTTCAGGGGACAAGGATCCAAAATAAAACGCTGATTAAAATGCATAAAACACTTCTCCTTGGCAATTGCCGGAGTAACCAGTGGGATCAACGGGACCAGCATGGCAGGGGCAGCACATTGCCCACTCAGCAGTTTTGCTGACCCCCTCAGACACGACTCTGCCAGCATCCCTAGATGACAGGGCCCCTGGGAGTATTAGGAGACTAGGCCCGGTGTGCAGTGCTCCTGCCATGCCCACTTGGGCGGGCATCTTAGCCTCTCCAGGCCTCGGTTTCCCCACCTCTCAGGGCAGCCACCTGTAAGAGGTGAGAGAAGAGGCCCATCCTGGTCCTGTGGAGTATGGCCCGGTGCTCTCCGGGTCTAACTGCCAGGCCTGGGGGTGGCAGCAGCACAGGGCAATGCCGACCAGCTTTTCCATCAATGTATTTGAATTCCCCAGGTCTCTCATTGCTCAGAGGCCCTGCTGCAGGGTCAGATCCATCAGAGGGGCTTCGACCCTGCAAAAACTCATGCTTCATTTCAAAGAACATTCACTGAGGTCTGTTCTGTGCCACACCTTGGTCTGAGGCTGCAGACACACCATCTGCCCTCCGGCACCTCATTCTCTACCTGGTGAGACAAATGGACCCATGACTGTTTGACCCAGGGTTAAACAGATGTCACAGGAGAGATGCCAAGTGCTGAGGCCTTGGAGAATATTTCCCTCTTTGCTCAGGTCACTAGGAAGCTCTCACCTTTAGTCATTATGCAGGACTTTGTGGCATTCTTTCCTGACTGGCTTGCCTTCTTTAGCTTTTTTTTGTCATCTCGTAGCATAATTTTTCTGTCAGCTCAAATCACTTTTAGAATGAGGTGCACTATACATCAATTACACAATGAAACTACTAATGAATGTAGTTTGGTGTTACGGGCAAGAGATGATTTCTTTTTTTTTTTTTTGTGAGAAAGATCAGCACTGAGCTAAAATCTGATGCCAATCCTCCTCTTTTTGCTGAGGAAGATTGGCCCTGAGCTAACATCCGTGCCCATCTTCCTCTACTTTATATGGGACGCCGCCACAGCATGGCTCTACAGGCAGTGCGTCGGTGCGTGCCTGGCATCTGAACCAGCGAACCCCGGACTGCCACAGCGGAACGCGCACACTTAACCGCTTGTGCCACCAGGCCAGCCCCAAGAGATGATTTCTGAACTGAGTAGGTCAAGGATGGCTTCATGGAAGAGGTGGCCTTTGGGCTGGCAGGTCCCAAAGGCTGCTGGGGCAGGAGGCTGGGAGAGTTCTCCAATAGGAGATGGCTTAGAGGCAGGAATGTGCAGGACAAGGTGGGGATACCTGGTGGCTTGAGTGGGGGGAGTGGAGGGAGAGGAGGTAGAAGGGTAAGTTGAGGCAAGGGGGTGGAGGCTTCGAATGCCAAATTTGTGTCTGTGTGAGGGTCTTACCAACATCTCAGTGTGGCCTGTGCCCTCGCCACCCCCCTCATTCCTCAGCCCCTCTCTAGCAGTCCCCGCCCCACCCGCCAGCCCAGCCCCGAGCCGGGTGCTAAAAGTCCTATTTACCTCCCAGGTCCCCAGCCTCAGCCCCGCGCTGGCCCCAGCTGCTGGCCCAATTACTTATTGATCGCCTGTCAGGATGTTTGCTTTTCTGGTGGGTCACTGGAGCATGTGTGACTGTGAAAATGGCCTGTGGGGGTGGGGCGGGGGAGGCCGAACCACAGAAGAGTCTGGAGAGAGGATGAGAGGGGCTGAGGGGAGGGCAGTGGACAAAGCCCTTGGGGATAACAAAACCTTGCAGATTCCATAACATGTCAGTGACACCCAGAGCCCTCTCTGGTTAATCAGTCACTTAGTCGATCGACAACCAGGGAGTGCCTGTCAGTCCTGGGAGACCGGCGGAGCATTGGAAAGTGTGTGGCATCGTTGGAGTCTGACAGACCAGAGCTCCAGTCCGGAATCTGCCTCCTCTGCTGGCTGGGTGTCCTTGGCAGTCACAATCTCTCCGAGCCCCAAGTTGCCTTAAGGGTTGAAGTGTGAATGACAAGAAGCAGAGGCTGTGTGCAGGTGTGGGGAGGGGGTCGGAGGGGTGGGAGGAGGGCCTGAGCTGGGGCAGAGAGGCGGGACCCTCGCACCTTGGGCCTCCCCTTACTGCGGTGAGTGCCCCTCGGGGCTATGAGAGTGGACTGTGTGGATAGGCAGCAGAGCCCCAAGGGTACCAGCTGGGATGGGGGAGCATGGATGGATCTTTGCCCCACCAGCAGCGGGAGGGCTGCAGCTCAGCCCCCAGAGACTATCTGGTCCAGCCCCAGAAGTTTGGAGGAGTCCAGACTGGCCTTCCCAGCACCCTAATAACCCTGCCGGGCCAGTTTCCCGTGGGGTGGAACAGGGATGGAACAGGGGCGGAAGGAGGAGATGGGGAGGCTGTCTGGGCACAAGTGGGAGCAAGTGGCCTCTGAACGTGGACCAGGAGACAGTAATGGGGGGGCTAGCTCCCGCACACCCCGTTCACTCCACCTGCAGCCCATACCCAAGCTGGGCCCCCCTCCTGGCACCGTCTCCCGTGTCATCACCCCCCGAGTCCTGCATGTTCCCCAGCGCCCGGCTGTGACAAGCCTCACGTCCTCAGTGTCGTGATGTGGACTGGCTCTTCCAGGCTGCCCATGCCACCCTGGGCTGTGCGAGTCGGACTGCTCCTCCCTCCGGTACTAGGAGGAGAGTGATTGGAACCCCGAGAGACAGGCGGATGAAGGCTGGGGGTCTTTGGAGGGGAGCACACTTCCTTCTGGGGATCAGAAAAGGCTTCTTGGAGCAGCGGACATTAAATTAGGCCCTGAAGATGGGATTTCAACAGGCAGGGGAAGGGGCACTCCAGGAGGAAAGAACTGCAGAAGCCAAGGCCAGGAACCTGGAATACTCGTTCCCTGAGCCCTGAGCTCAGGAGCCTGGGTGGGTCACCATGGGGACCCAGAGGAAGGCAAGAGTCAGAGAGATTCCACAGGGAGGCATTGGCACTGGGTCCAGCTTTCTGGGTGGGTTGCCCTCCCCTGATCTAGAAACCCTGTCGGGGAGCAGATTCGTAACCCTAACAGGTACCACCGGGTTTGCTGATAGCCCAGGACTTGGGCTGCGGGCTCAACCGCGGTGTTGGCAGGGAGGGGACCGTGGTGTCTGTGCCTGGGGAGGCTCAGGCTAAAGGCTGCGAGAGGGGCCCTCAGCAGCCTCAGAAGCCCTTGCCCGGCAGGCTGGGGACCAGACATGCTCCTCTGCTGGCTGTTCCTGGAGGCCTCAGCCTTTGAGCCCATTTGATCCCCTCTGTGAGCCCCGAAGGCAGCTCAGCAGGTCTGGCTTTATCCCTGGTGAGCACCAAGGGAAACTGAGGCTCAGGGTATGTGGTAAGGTATAAAACGTAAAAGGTGAAGGAGGTGGACGCAGCCTAGGATGTCAGTAACAGGCTCTTCTGAAGTGACTCCGCCCCTTCCATGAACCCCCTCCATCCTTCAGGAGGGTTCTGGGCAGGTCAGGGGCAAGGAGGAAGCAGCGTGGGGTGGCAGAATGCCCTCTGGCCTGGGCATGTGGACTTTACTGTGGGGTCTGAGGCAGGTGTCATATGCCAGTGTGGACCCCCGCCTCTCTGTCTGTGTCAGGGACATCCTGAGGGGCCAGGAGGGCAAGGGGGCACAGAGGGCTCAGGGTGGGGTCCAGCCAAACACTGTCCTCTAACTGCCCGCTCTGTCCTATGCTTGCTTCCGGCTGCAGGTGAGTGAGAGGATGCTGGCGGGGGGCGCGAGGAGCATGCCCAGCCCCCTCCTGGCCTGCTGGCAGCCCATCCTCCTGCTGGTGCTGGGCTCGGTGCTGTCAGGCTCGGCCACGGGCTGCCCACCCCGCTGCGAGTGCTCCGCCCAGGACCGCGCTGTGCTCTGCCACCGCAAGCGCTTTGTGGCGGTGCCCGAGGGCATCCCCACGGAGACCCGCCTGCTGGACCTGGGCAAGAACCGCATCAAAACGCTCAACCAGGACGAGTTTGCCAGCTTCCCGCACCTGGAGGAGCTGGAGCTCAATGAGAACATCGTGAGCGCCGTGGAGCCCGGTGCCTTCAACAACCTCTTCAACCTCCGGACGCTGGGGCTCCGCAGCAACCGTCTGAAGCTCATCCCCCTGGGCGTCTTCACCGGCCTCAGCAACCTGACCAAGCTGGACATCAGCGAGAACAAGATCGTCATCCTGCTGGACTACATGTTCCAGGACCTGTACAACCTCAAATCACTGGAGGTCGGCGACAACGACCTCGTCTACATCTCCCACCGAGCCTTCAGCGGCCTCAACAGCCTGGAGCAGCTGACGCTGGAGAAATGCAACCTGACCTCCATCCCCACCGAGGCGCTGTCCCACCTGCACGGCCTCATCGTCCTGAGGCTCCGGCACCTCAACATCAACGCCATCCGGGACTATTCCTTCAAGAGGTTGTACCGCCTCAAGGTCTTGGAGATCTCCCACTGGCCCTACTTGGACACCATGACACCCAACTGCCTCTATGGCCTCAACCTGACCTCCCTGTCCATCACACACTGCAATCTGACGGCCGTGCCCTACCTGGCCGTGCGCCACCTGGTCTATCTGCGCTTCCTCAACCTCTCCTACAACCCCATCAGCACCATTGAGGGCTCCATGTTGCATGAGCTGCTCCGGCTGCAGGAGATCCAGCTGGTGGGTGGGCAGCTGGCCGTGGTGGAGCCCTATGCCTTCCGCGGCCTCAACTACCTGCGCGTGCTCAACGTCTCCGGCAACCAGCTGACCACGCTGGAGGAGTCGGCCTTCCACTCAGTGGGCAACCTGGAGACACTCATCCTGGACTCCAACCCGCTGGCCTGCGACTGCCGGCTCCTGTGGGTGTTCCGGCGCCGCTGGCGGCTCAACTTCAACCGGCAGCAGCCCACGTGTGCCACGCCCGAGTTCGTCCAGGGCAAGGAGTTCAAGGACTTCCCCGATGTGCTCCTGCCCAACTACTTCACCTGCCGCCGTGCCCGCATCCGGGACCGCAAGGCCCAGCAGGTGTTTGTGGATGAGGGCCATACGGTGCAGTTCGTGTGCCGGGCGGATGGCGACCCGCCGCCCGCCATCCTCTGGCTCTCGCCCCGCAAGCACCTGGTCTCGGCCAAGAGCAACGGGCGGCTCACGGTCTTCCCCGATGGCACGCTGGAGGTGCGCTATGCCCAGGTACAGGACAACGGCACGTACCTGTGCATCGCAGCCAACGCGGGCGGCAACGACTCCATGCCCGCCCACCTGCATGTGCGCAGCTACTCGCCCGACTGGCCCCATCAGCCCAACAAGACCTTTGCCTTCATCTCCAACCAGCCGGGCGAGGGAGAGGCCAACAGCACCCGTGCCACCGTGCCTTTCCCCTTTGACATCAAGACCCTCATCATCGCCACCACCATGGGCTTCATCTCTTTCCTGGGTGTCGTCCTCTTCTGCCTGGTGCTGCTGTTTCTCTGGAGCCGGGGCAAAGGCAACACGAAGCACAACATTGAGATCGAGTACGTGCCCCGCAAGTCGGACGCAGGCATCACCTCCGCCGACGCGCCCCGCAAGTTCAACATGAAGATGATATGAGGTCAGGGCGGGGTCAGGGACCCCTGGGCGCGCCGGGCAGGGGAGGGGCCTGCCGCCATTGGCTCGCTCCCTGGTCCTTCCCACCTCCTGCCCCTCCACACACACTCTTTTTCTCCCTCCCACCCCTGTCCCCTGCTGGCCCCACCGGCCCTCACCGCCTGCCCTCTTCCTACCAGGACCTAGAAGTCCAGGCCTGGGGACCCCACCTGCACAGGGGCACACATTGCCAGACTGGAGTCGGAAGCTGACTAGCCGACACGCAGCACAGTGAATAATTCAATAAAAAGAGTTACGAACTTCCTCTGTAACTTGGGTTTCAATAAGTATGGATTTTTATGAAAACTTGAAATAATAAAAAGAGAAAAAAACTATGTCCTCTAGCTAGTGGGAATGCAAACTTTTGACGTCCTGATTGCTCCAGGGCCCTCTTCCAACTCGGTTTCTTGTTTTTCTCCTCCTCCTCCTCCTCTTCCTCCTTTCTCTTCTCTTCCCTTGCAGGGAGGGATCACTCAGGAAAACAGGAAAGGAGGTTCCAGCCCCACCCATGTGCCCACCCTGCGGGGGCAGCCGCCCAGAGCAGGCGGGGTGCCAGGTGTGGGCCCAGCTCTGGGCTGGCTGTTTGCAGGGAGCGGGTGGAGGGGACAAGGCTGCCCGATGGGGTGGGGGCTGTCTGCAGAGCTGCCAGGCAGCAGTACTGCCAGGGGTTGGGGGGCCTGGCTAGGGTGTGGCTGAGACTCTGGACAGGGGCTGGGGTTCTCCTGGAGGACAGCACAGTCAAAGGAGAGAGCCAGGGGCCAGGGGCGGGACTAAGGCCTAACTTCTGGTCCCAGCTCTGCCGCTGACTTGCTGTGTGGCCTCGAACAGGTCATTGCCCCTCTCTGGGCCTCAGTCTCCACGTCTGTACAAATGGAAACCTTACTCCCTGCCCTGCCTACCTCACAGGGCTGTTGTGAGGAATTGATGAGATGATGTATGTGAAACACTTTGTAACCTGTAAAGCGCTGTGCACACGTGTGGGTGACTGTTCTCATTATGGTCATTATTCTCTCACTGTTGGGGACAGGTCTCCTGAAGGGATCTCCATGGGGTTAGGGGTGGGGGCATACCAGGGAGGGCCAGCTCCAGGGACTTCCAGAGGCTTCTCCCGGGACAGTGGCCTGGGCGGTGGCCAAAACCATTGGCTGGATGGACAGGGCTCTAGACCCACAGGGGAGTCCTGAGGCCATGAGCATCATAGCTTCTGCCATCTCTGGTCTGGGGTCCCCCCAGGCAGAAGCCCCCTGCAGCTTTGGCCTGGACCTATCCAGGGGTTGGGAACACCAGCTCTCTCCAAGCCTTCTTTCCACAAGCATTTATTGAGTGCCTACTGTATGCCTCTTCCCATGTAGAGGCCTAGTCTTTGGGGCCAGGGAGGTGGTTCTGGGGCCGCCCTTTTGGACTACCCAGAGCCAGGTCACCACCCCAGCTGTGCCCATCTTCCACCAGGCCATACTCTGAGCCTCCCTTGGGCTTTGAAGGGTTTTGGTTTGGGGGCTAGGATCCACCTGCACGTGGGCTGACCAGGAGGATCAGACAGTAGCCCCCGGCCCCGCCCATTCACGCCAAACCTAGATGCTCAAAACTCAACCCTGGAAAGGGATGCCCCGGATGACAGACGTGCGAAGACAGGTCACTTGTAACTTTCCCCGAATCCGAGGGCCCTGGCTCGAGAACAGGGACAGGAGCTGGGCCAGCAGACCGCGTGCTCATCTCTGTCAGGCAGCGAGGGCACCAGGGTCAGGGAGGCCTGGCTTCTCCCTCCAGGTTTCCTCCTCCTCCTCGAGGCTCCTTGGATTAGGCCCCATGGTGGGCCCAGGCTGACCCTGCTGCCCATTAACACCCAGGCTACGGGGAATCCAGTGATGCAGGAACCCATGGGCACAGACTTGGCTGAACTTGAGGGAGGAGCAGTAGGGAAGTCAGCCCTCAGCAACAAGAAACTTCCAGAACGCAGCTCCTCCAATCAGGGCTCTTCCTGGGGCTCACCCCTCAGCGTGCTGACATGAACTAGGGAGCTGCGTGTCTAGCACCTTCTAAACCGAGCTTCTGGTGGGATGGCACGGTGAGCAGTCTGATGTGGAGTTGGCACTGGGTCACTCACTCATTCATCATTCAGTCCACAGATGTGCCCAAGGCCCGCTGTGCTCCGGCTGCTGGCTGGTGTGGTGTGTAGCCAACAGCTGGGCTAGAATGTCCTCGCCCACACCTCTCACCCCCACCCAGGACTGTCCCTAGTTCTGCGGAAGCCTCAAGCCCTCTGAACCATGGTTTTATCCCCTGGAGGAAACAGGATCCTCTCCTCACATGATCCTGGAATGTTGCTGTGGAAAAGGTTGATGGTGCCTGGGGAGCAGCCCAGATTAGTGACTATAAGGCTCTGAGGTCCTGTTCTAGCACTTACTAGCTGTTTGTGATTGTTACTTAACCCCCCTGAGCCTCTGTCTTCATCTGTAACATAAAGATGATCTTACTACTTTTGGTTGTTAGGAGGTTAAATGAAGGAGCACAGGTGTATTCGCTGGTTGGTGAAGTGCCTGGCACTCAGAAAGCCCTCTACCAATGGTGCTGGTGATGATTGCTGTTGAGTCCAACTGTGGTACAGATGCAGAGACTGAGGACCAGAGAGGGTGGTAGCTTACCCAAAGTCAAACAGCTTTAAAGTGACGGGACCAGAGCCTGGAAGTTCAAGACTCTTGGAGCCTCAGACTTCTAATCCTAACTTGGGGCTTCTCAGAGCCAGGCCTGGGGATCCCCACCTGGCAGGAGACCACTTTGGGGAGCATAGGGGCAGGAGAGGAGTCTTTGGGCATTGGGGCAGCCTGTGCACAACAAGAGGCTAGTGGTATCACATGAGGCTTCAAGAACCCAACAGGCCTGCCTATCTCCAGAGAGAGAAGAGCACAGTCTCTCCATTGCCCAGCCCTGGATGCCGTGGTCAGCGCTGTCCTCCACGGGCGGCAGCCACGGGATGGTTACTGAACCCCTCTGGGATGCCTGGGTCCCTGGGGCTTCACAAGATTTGGGTAAGAGCAGGGGGGTTCAAGGGGCCAATTTATTCCTGGCTACTGGGAGGAAACTCAAGGACACAAGAAACTTGTGAGGTTGTTTTCAGATGAGGAAGAGAGTCAGTTCTGGGGATGTGAGTGCTCAGGGTCAGGGGGCTGGGTTGGCCCATGCAAAGGAGCCTGGGGACTGGGAGCCAGGCAGCCCAGGTTTTAGTACTGCCCCTTCCCAGCTGTGGGACCCCCATCTGCAGAAGACAGTAATGAACTCAACTGCTAAGAGCCCTGCCAGAATTCAGGGGGAATAGTCTGGGAAGTCAGGCTGGGGACTTTCTCCATGGCCCGACAGCCTCTGATGAGGAAAGAGGAGGAGCAGATGCCCCCACTCCCTGGCACACGCACTGCTGGGGCCTGAACCCAGAGGTGGTCTGGGTGGCCAAAGCCTTCCTGGGCCACCCACAGTCCATGCCGTCCCGGTGGCCCCAGTCTGCCTCAGACCCACTGGGGCTGTGGAGTCAGGATGTCCTGCCCCTCAAGCCCTGTGGGGAGCTGGCTGCTCCGCTCACCTTTCAGCCTGGGTCCAAGCCACTGGGGGAAAGGCAGGATGCTGAAGCCTGAGAGTCTGGCCTGCTTTCCAGGAGACCAAGACCAGAGGCGGCCTCCAGGCCTGCTCCTCCACAAGACAACCTGCCTTCAAGACAAAAGGTGATAAGACTGGGGGCCTACTCTGGACAAGTGCCTCGGCCAGGGATGGCACCCAGGAGGGTGAGTATTGGAGCAGCAAGTACCAGGAGCCCCCTGGTTTATTCCTCACAAGTAAGAATCTGAGGCTCTGAGAGGGGAAGTAACCTACCCAGAGTCACACAGCAGAGTGGTGGATGGGGCATGAACTTTGGAGTCAGGCAGACCCTGGTCCAAATCCCATCTCAGATGTGGCACCTGTTTGGTGTGCAATAATGACTGCTATTATTAGCATGACATCATTATGGACAAGCAGGGGGTGGTGGTTGACCTCAGGAACTAGGAGGGAAAGGGACTGTATGGGAAAACACAATGGGGATCCGAAACAGCTGGACTCCAATGGGGTTGGGGCGGACACCATGCTTGGTTATGCCCTCTGATTCGCCACTGAAGGCCTCAGGGCTGTGTGGGGAGGACAGGAGCAGACTCCAGGCCATCACCCTGTCTGCCCAGGACAGAGAGAGTGGCCGTGCCCTGGAGCCCTGGAGGACAAGGCCACAGCCTGTATGTGTTGGGGGGATGGAGGTCACAGGGAACAAGGGAGAAGGGGTCAGAGGAGCAGTGTAGAGCCCTGGCTGGTATTGGGAGTCCTGGGGGACTTTGAGCCTTTCAGGGCCTGAAGTGAGGGTTCATGAGGTACAACGAATGGGGACAGCACAGACCAGCTGAAGTTAAGTGATTTATTGGGGACTTCACGGAACCTGGTTCTATGGTCTATCACCTTTCCTGCTTCTCTCCCCAATTTGGTGTCCTCTGATGACATGACAGCCTGCACAGGGCTGAAAGTCATCCCCCCACCCCCACCCCCGCTCTCCTTCCAAGCCCCAACTCCAGCCTCCTTCACAGTCTGGTTTGCTAGGATCGCTGATATCTTCATTCATGTTCTCCAGAGGAAAAGGATCTGATTGGCCAACTCTCAGCCAATGGATGGGCTGCCTCTAAGTCAGGTGCTCATCCCCTTGTCCAATTAGCCAAGGCCAAGGAGCTTAGCCTCATGCAAGCCAAATTTGGGAGAAGATGGCACAGAAAGGGCTTAGGGCCTATATCAGTTATCCACTGCTGCATGACAACCACCCCAAAACTTAGTGGTTTAAAACAACAACAGCCATTTATTTGTTCTTAGTTTTGCAACTTGGGAAGGCTTGGTAAGGACAGCTCATCTCTGCTCTTCACGGTGTCGACTGGGGAGACTTGACTGGAGCAGAGAGGTCCAAGGTGGCTTCCGGCCATGTCCATCACCTCACTGGGGAGGCTGGCAGGCCTGGAGGGAGCTGATTTCTCTGTCTGCATGGTCTCTCCAGCAGACTAGCTGGACTTCTTTATGGTGGCACAGTGCTCCAAGACGGGGAAAACAGAAGCTGCCGGGTCTCTTGAGGAAGGAAGTCTTTGTAGGCCAGGAGACCCCGTCTTCATGTTCATTGCATTCTATTGCTCAAGACGAGTCACAGGCTTCCCTAGATTCAAGGGGAGGGAGGACAGACCCCAGCTCTTGGTGGGAGGAGCCACAAAGTCACACAGCAAAAGGGCATGCAGGATGTGAGAGTCGCTGCAGCCACCTTTGGAAGTGACCCCCCACAGGGACCTCTGCGGTGCCCTTTTTCTTTTAGGAACCACTCATTGGTACACAGGCCTCTACAGTTGACCCAGGAGTAGGGGACTTAGCGAGTGATGGTGACTGGCCTACCAATGGATCTACAGCTGGTAAGTAAAGAGCCAGGACTTGAACCCAAGTTTGCAGCCCCTGGTGCAGTGTCCTTTTGAGCAGAAGCAGGAGGCAGGGGGCACTGGGGTAATAGAGCAATAATAATAATAGCTACTGTTTATCAAGGGCTGTGCCAGGCACCCAGCCAGACACTTTATTGACATTCTCTTATCTAATCCTGCCATAAGGAGTTCTATTATGCTCCCTTTTGGATGTGAACACTGAGGCTGAGGCAGGAGCAGTGACTGCCAGGGGCTCACCGCCAGGTGGGTGATGAAGTCAGGATTCACACTCAGGGCACCTGTCCTTCATGGCAGAAAAAGCACCAGACTGGTCTCTTTACTTTGAACCACTCCAGACTCAGGCTTCTCATCTGTGAAGTGGGCACAGCCACATCATCTCCCACGGCTCCTTCCCTTGGGGTGGGACGAGTTGAGGTGGAGAGTGTGCTGTGGCACGGGCGAGTGAGTGCACAGGTGGGAGTCGTGATCAAAGCTTCTGCCAGTGAGTCCCCCCTCCTGGCTCCCAGCCCA